CTTAAGAGCAGATATGTCTCTTTTCGTGTGCAAGGAGCCTAACTCTATGCTGATGTGGAGTAGAAACTTAGTAAATATTTGGTGAACTAGCCATAATGTTGGGGCAATAAGCCAGACAGCTTAGACTAGCTGCCTAAGCAAATTTATATTCCCTAAGTTAGAAATATAGAAAATTCTACAAGTCTTTTAGGTTAAAAATGTATTACATACCTGCTATGTGCCAGATTTCCTTAGAAAGTTTTAGGTAGGAGTTTTGTAGAAGTCTGATATTTGAAAACTACTATACTCCTGTGTCCTGAGCACTGAGCTAGGCACAGGGAAACTGTTGAAAAAGAAAAGCAATCTTTGTTCTTCCAGGATGTTGTCTGGTGGAGAGAGACTGACCAAGTGGGATGATGGTTGTGATAAGGGTGCTGCAGGCACTGAGGGAGCAAGAACACAAGCTCAAATCTAGTAAAGGAAGTCACCAAAAGTCTCTCCAAGGAAGTGATGTTTTAAATAAGTCACAAAAATTTAGCAGTAACTACTAGCCAAAGAGGAAGAAAAAAAGAATTCCGGGTAGAGGAAACAAGTGTGAAGGCTCAGGTGAGAAAATATGGTATGTTTGAGAAATTGGGAAAAATTCAATGATAGGAACCCATATTGTGAGAGGAAAAACTATGAGAAATGAGGCTAGCAAGTGGGCAGTGTGGTGGCTCAGAATATGGTGGTGGCAACACAGATGGAGAATGGGAGATGGTTAAAAAATTTATAATGATGGATAGGATTTATTAGTTGATTAGCTTTAGAGAAGAAAGAGAGGAGTCAAAAATAACTCCTTAGTTTTTGGTTGGAGGAATGGGTGGAGGCTAGCGCCATTTACTGAGGCAGAAAATAAGAGCAAGTTTAAGGTGCCAAAAGATATTTTAGGAGACTTTTGGATATAGAAGGTGTAAAATTCAGGTATAAAAGTTAAATGTGAGATCATAAAGGGCAGAAGTGTAAGTCGGATATGAGGAATTTTCAAATACAAAAGTAGGTCAGATACAAACATTGAACCAATTCTATGTCAGTGTCTATGATGAACAGGTCTGTGAGAGAGAAAATTATTTTTATGTATAAGCAGCCTGTGTCCTGACAGTATGGTATGGTTATGAGTATAGATGCCCATTCAGTTAACTGCAATACACGACACAGGGTGGTAAATACTAGAGGACAGCTACAAACCAAGTATTGAGGCACTGCAGAAAAGAAAATGGTTTGTCAATGACTGTGTGGAGGAGTGATCTTTCAACTGGGCCTGAAAGGGGAAGGAGAGGAGAAAGGAGTTTTGGACTTAAGGAATAACAAAGTATAAAAAACCTGAAAGTTCACCCGAGACCGGTTTGGCTCAGTGGATAGAGCATCGGCCTGCGGACTGAAGGGTCCCGGGTTCGATTCCGGTCAGGGTCATGTACCTTGGTTGCGGGGGGATGTGCAGGAGGCAGCTGGTCGATGTTTCTTTCTCATCAATGTTTCTAACTATCTCTCTCCCTTCCTCTCTGTAAAAAAATCAATAAAATATATTTTAAAAAAAAACCTGAAAGTTCATATTATATGTTCAGAATACAGTGGGTTGTTGGTATGGCTGGAGTTTAGGATTCTTAGGGTATTAGAGTTACAGATAAGACTGGAAAAGTATTTTGGGGTCAAATAGACTGAGTACCATGCTTAAGGATGTGTATTACAGGCAAACAAACGCTGTGGCAGAGCTGAAATACAGTTTCAATCATCTGACTACCAGTTACATATTCAAACTTGCATCCATTGTGTGCCTGCTCCATTCAGCACAGCCCTAGTCATCCTCACCTATGTGTCTAAGTAAATACAGTCCTCCTATTCATTCTCTCTTAAATTACTCTCTCTTTCCTTTTCAATTGTGAAGACTAACTGCAGAATATCCTGTGGCGCTCTGAGTTTTCATTAAGGCTGGGACAATGCTTTGAGTTACTTTAGAGTTGAGGAGCATGTGGTGCTAGACACTGGTCTCCTCAACAGTCCTGCAAGGGAGATGTCAAGTGAGATTATTTCTCCAGTCTGAGGCAGAAAGATATTTAGAAGTTCTAGCTTCAGAGAGGGCACCAAAAAAAAAAAAAAATATTCTAGAGGTCATAAAATTGGATTCAGCATTTATTAACCAACTACACACTGCAAGTTATCTTTTTCTCCTTATAAGCTTAGTTCAGTTAGTCAGCAGATACTTATTTAAAAAAACACATTTTTATTGATTTTAGAGAGGAAGGGAAAGGGAGAGAGAGATAGAAACATCAGTGATGAGAGAGAATCATTGATTGGCTGCCTCCTGCACACCCCGTATTGGGGATCAAGCCCGCAACCCAGGTATGTGCCCTTGACTGGAATCGAACCCAGGACTTTTAGTCCACAGACTGACGCTGTATCCACTGAGCCAAATCAGGTAGGGCAGCAGATACTTATTAAGTACTCACAAAAGACAGAGCACTTGATGAAGTATAATGGCTGGTTGCAAAGAAAATAGATTCCAGCCCTAGCTGGTTTGACTCAGTGGATAGAGTGTTGGGCTACGGACTGAAGGGTCCCAGGTTCCATTCTGGTCATGGGCACATTCCCGAGTTGCAGGCTTGATCCCCAGTAGGGGATGTGCAAGAGGCAGCCAATCAGTGATTCTGTCTCATCATCGATGTTTCTATCTCTCTCTCCCTCTCCCTCTCTGAAATCAATAAAAATATATTTAAAAAAATAGATTCCTATTCCTACTTTCTAGCAGCTTGCTATTTGGGATGGAACTAGTGGTGTGTTATAAACCAGCTCCCTAGGAAAAACACACATTCTGATTTGTAGTGCTTGCCAATTTCTGTGGTGTATATACTTCCAGCATCACTGATTTTAGGTTATCAACTTAAAATGTCACTAAACATGGAGTTGGAAAGTGATATGCACAATTGGTTCTTAGGAGCTTGTAGAGCTGATAGAGATGCTATTGAATGAATCATTCATATTTAGGAAAGCCTACAATAGCAGTGAATACTGAGATATTTCTAGAATGATTGGAGCCTCTGTCAGCCCCATCTCACGTTCCCATCCTTTTCAGAGAACCATGATCTCCACAGTGCCCTTGGATCTGGTAGTTATCTTGGTTTTCCTTTCCTATGGTTGCCATCTTTACAAACCAGACGAAGTTACTGGTGCTTCTTGTTTCTGACAGCAGCTTCAGCTATCTGACTTCATGTGAAAGATGGCTAATGCAGAAGTGAGTGTCCCAGTGGGGGATGTGGTTGTGGTACCCACTGAAGGAAATGATGGGGAGAACCCTGAAGACACTAAAACCCAAGTGATCTTGCAGTTACAGCCTGTGCAACAAGGGTAAGTGACTAATGATTTGGATATTCTGAAAAATTGGAGAAGTTTAAAGAGCGGGGAAATAATAACTTATGCTTGCTTAGTACAGGCAAGTAAATCTCAGAGTTGGCCAAATTATCATCTCTATAATAATGTAATGAGTGCTATATTTGTCATTTCAGTACTTATTACAATTAGCTATTTCCTTATCTTTTCCCCTTTTTTCCACTGTTAGCTTTTAGAGGGTAAGTTACATGGCTCCCTTATTTTATTTATCCATACTGTTTAGTACAGGGCCCTGGTACATGTTTCCCAAAAGACAGTGTAGTTAGAGTCAAAGGAGATTAGACAAGGCAACTATAAAAGTATTCCTATTAGAAGCTCTCTGAACTGTCATGGGTAGACAAATTATCAAGGTTAATCTATTAAAATAAAAAGTATATTAACTATTCTTTTCTTTCTGTGTGTGTGCTTTTTTAAAAAAATTTATCTTTATTGTTGAAAGTATTGCAGGTATCCTCTTCCCCCCACATTCACTGTCTCCCTCCCCAGGCCTTCACCCCACTATTGTCTGGGTCCCTGTGTTATGCATATATGCATATCCTATATAATAAAACCCTAATATGCAAATCGACCAAATGGTGGAACAAAGTGGCAGAACGACAGGTTGCTATGACACACACTGACCATCAGGGGGCAGATGCTCAATTGAGTGTCTGTCCCCGTCCCCCAGAGGGAGGCGACCGGCTGTGGCGATAGGGGGTGGGGCTGGTGAGTGGGCGGCGCCAGGCTGCCAGCCAAGGCAAGTGCCAGTGGGGGTCCCCCTGGTCACCCTGCCCTCCCGTCACCCCACAGATGGCCCTGATCACTGGCCAGGCCTAGGGACCCTACTCTATATATTGGGAACAGTCTCTTAGGTTTAAAAATTAAAACCTGGCAAGGCTACTCTAACACTGAAAAAAAACAGGATGATGCAGCGATGACATGCATGGACTGTGGCTTACACATTTTGTGGTCAGCCCTGATTCTGATACTTATAATATGTGACAAAAGCCAA